ACAAGAAAATACAAACAGGGTCTTTTAACTCTGCTTATAGAAAATGAAGAGCAAAGAATTCGCATCAGGTGTGTTTTGCGTTTTTAATCTTTTTTTTTAGACCAGGATCCCAGTATAACTGATTTTCAGCGTCAACAAATGCTAAAATACAGAGATTTAAAAAAGCTGTTAGCTAAATGCAACATGGCAAATCAAAAGATTTTTCACCTTGGTGCAAAAATGATAGAATTTTTTTTTACTTGGATTTCATTAACTAGCTGCGTAACAAGAACATGACCAATTTAAGTTTATAGGACAACTAAACTATCAATTTAAACAAAAATTTACCGTCAACTACAGACGTTGCAGAGAGTGAGACTCGAGTGAGTGAAGAATAATGCACGGTGCATGTTGACCGTATTTATGTGAATACACACCAGTGCAGGCATTTTGACACTCCTGTGTTTAGACCGTTTTAGGCGCGCCACCAAAGACGTCTATGCTTCTCCGTATTCTACTCGGACCTCGCGCGCAGAAAACATGCAGTCAGAAGCGGATTAAGTTCCGTTTCGCGGCTTTGAGTTTTTAATACTGTCTGCCTTCAAGAATGTCCCGCTCTTTACGGTCTTATTCATTCACTTTCCTTTATTAATAACGCTAACAGTCCCACCCGCTGAAAGCTGTGCGGAAAAGGTGAAAGTAACCGGCTAAATGTTTCATACTGGCTCTTGGCACAGGAGAACACCATCTTCTATAAAACATAGTATATGTTTCAGTCCTGTCACTTTATTACATACTTTTACACTTTTTCTGCTGTTTAAAAAAAAATCTTTCTTTTCGCTATTACCACAAACAAGCTACGTAGCAGCATGGATCTGAGTTTATTAGCTCTACATTATCAGTTTGCTGTCATGACTCTCGCGAACAGCACTGAACGCGCACTTTTCGGTACAAAAAAAATTATTATTATTTTAAAACTTTTATCAGCTTATGTAGTCTCTACAACCAATGAATTGCTGATCTCTAGTGATGTATAATTTTTGTAATAGATCATTTGTTGGTAAAGGGTGAGAGATCTGGCGAGCCACATGATTTTTGTCAAGAGCCAGGTCTAAATCACAGTCCCTAAAGGAACACTGAAGCTTCTCTCATTGCACTAATCTTCACTCCGTGACTTTTTCTGTTTTTCCTATTTCCACCTTCTTCCTCTCTGCCGTAACATTTTCAAAATAGTCACAACATGCTTCAAAAAATATTTAGCTATAGGAGATACTTCAATGACAGGCACTTTTATGTCACCTTATTTTTAATCGACACTGAAAGATTTGAACTTTTTTTCTCTGCTTTTTGCTTTACGAAGGTCACATTAAAACGGTCTTGGAAACTTTCCTTCATCCTTTGTAAAGTAGTTTAAAATAAATAGCTTTTTTTGTAAAAAAAAAAAAAAAAAAAAAAAAAAAAAAAAAATTTATATAAAAATAGTTTTATATTTGTTTAATGATTATATAATTAATATTAAATTAATATAAAGCATTAACATAATCTTTTAATCCTAAAACATAAAAATCCATAAAAGTATTACTTACCATTTTCTTTAAACAATAACATTAAGTTAAATAAACTCAAATGTTATTAATAATTAACAAATTTAAATAAACTATATATCTAAATTATTTAATAAAATGAGTAATAATAATGACTGAACTTTAATAATAAATATTTTAATAAATATTGTGATTTTGAATCTGTAAAAATATAATTTTTACACAAAAAGGATTATAATTACTGCTGTCAACTATCTTGGTTACCAGATATTTAAGCATATTAGATAGTACCAGATACCAAGGAGTGTTAGTTAAGCATATTAGATATAAAATGACATGATAAAGAAAAATTAAGATATAGAATATTTTATTGCTTGTCATATCCAGTTATGCTGTGATTTTGTCAAATTGTGCAAACAAAATGTAAAAAAATATCATAGAATGTAGGATACATAAAATGCTAGCTATTAAAACTATCCTTAGCAAGACAAATTAATTGGCTATTTTATTCAAATACAAAAATATGATTTTCACCACAGAAGGTAAATAAAATACATAACTTGAAATTTGTAGGTTCAGAAAAATTACAATTCTCCTATGATACATGTACATCCACTGCAGAACATTGCTAGAGGACAAACTGTGTGTGTGTGTGTGTTAATAGTATATTTTAAGAAACACCCATGTGTGTCTATTAGTATGTTAAAGAAACTTCTTTGACATCTGGTAAAGCTGAAAGACAAATGATCACTCATCACAGGCAGGAGCCAGACACACACGTGTACAATCAATCATCAAAAGAAATATTTCTGAAATGGCAATTATAGCTTCTACTGAAAAGGTCAAGCTGAAAGAAATATCATGCTGCAAAGAAACTCTTATAGAAGAACTGCAGCGAAAATATCCACTTGAAACGTGTATATCAGGGTAGACGTGGTAATAGTTTAGACAGGCTACGTGCTTTCAGTTGAGCATCAAATCAATGTCTTCATTCATTCATGAGCAATTAACAACAAGTGTAGCACAAACCCGTTCATTAGAGGAGCTCAGGGGGTTGATTCCACGTATAGAACAGCGGCTACGTGTGTGTGTCCAAACTCATCCATTGCACTAGTAAAGTGGCGGAAAATCCCAGCAACTTAAGCATGGCGCGTCAGTGACGGAACTCTAGAGCGTATAATTTCCTTTCCACGATGCTGACCTTCGTGGAAACACACGATGGACACGACCAGCCAACAATAACCGCAATTACAGCTAATAAAACACGACAGATCGCAGCTGAACGCCTGGCTGAAGACTCAGTTATGTGAAGATGTACAGTACAAGTACAGAGCCTCTGAGGCAAGTATGAGATGATATAGTGGACAAAAAGGCTACTTTGCTGTCTCTGCAGTTTTGAATCTTCTGCATGCTGTTTTCACACTCTCTGTGCTGATTTCGAAAAAAAATTAAAAATGAAGCATATACATGGATGAATCATTGAATCATTCATCAATAACCTGCATTTAGAAAATATGGCTCGTTTCCATTTCAGGCCTTTTTAAATACAAAACCTACATATTGTGTAACATTTGTGATCTATAAATCTATAATAAAGTGACAAAAGTGTTTGTGTTTTATCAACTTTTTTTATCTGAACTACCTGAAACCCCTGTTGAGACATATTCAAAGGGTTCATGGGTTCAGGCCTTATTTAGGTGGGTCAAAACCCCCTAATATGCAGCCTCAACAGCTTCACAATCAGCATGAAACAATTCATTTGACTTCTGTAACTTGAGATTTAGGCAGAACTTGATTTTATCCTTTAAAAACAGACTGAATCATGAAACGTAAGCGTTACAGACCAGAATGGATCCAAGTGTTAAAATATTACAAAGTCGAGCATTTTTTCCCTTTGGAATAACATGCACATACACGCATCAATTTTAATATCATGTTAACAAAAAAAATTGTAATATGCCTAAAAAGAAGCTGTGAAAGATTCAAGTTGTACAAAAGTAATTACCTATTTTCCCTAAATAATTCAATTTTTTACATAAATGTTTAAAGAACATGATGATTCTATGAATGATAGGAGTGTAAATTCTATGGAAATTTCTAAATTCTCTTCGGAATTCAACAGGTGCAGATTCTGTGCGAGACTATATATGACAGCCTGACCAAAAGTCTATTAACTAAACTTATTCCCTCCTTTACATCGTTCTCTCTTTATCTCTCTGTCTACCTATCGGTCTATCTCTACCTCTCCGCATTGCATCCAAAGTTCTCTTACACATACTAATACACTCATTACACACTCACACACACCGCTTTCTGCAGCTCCTGAATATTGTATGCTCTCTCACTGACTTTCATGTTTCAGCATTGTGTGCATCATTTATACCAGACCAATTAACATCCCCCCTTAAACCTTGTGCCACTTCAGCAAAGGCTGAATCTCATTTGATATTCTCTTTCATTTCTGCTGCTGGTACAGAGGATAACGCCCAACTATCAATGGCCACACACTACATCCTCTCTTCCCACAGTGTACTTCATAAACAACCTTGAAAGAGCTGCTGTAATCCTGGCTTAAATATTCTTTTATATTTAAAAGAATATTTAGTTCTTTTAAGTATTATTTAGTTCTTTAAATTTAAATATTTAGTTCTTAGTTGAAAAGTAGTTATTGTTACTAATTCTGGCATATTTACATGGTGTATATTTATACAACAATGTTCATGAATATGCATGGTCCCTATAGTTCATAGTAACTTCTTAATCCCTGGGTTTGAGTCAATACTTTAAACCAGATCATCTTGAATCTCCTTAATAGCTATGTTTATTTTAAAGGAAAAAAAACCCTTCAAACTTTCATGCTGTAAAAAGACTGACACTATGTCTGATGACACTGATTTTAAGGAAGAAAAAAAGTAAAAATATCAGATCCAGCCAAGCAACTGACATTATTGCTAACATAAGTCTCTAAATATGATTTTGCTTCTGAGAACCATTTATAAGGTACTACGTTTTGTATTATACTTTAATCACCAGAAAAACTGACACAAAAACATGAATCCTATCTCCTTTGAGCCAGACTACAACTATTTGTTCGCAGCCGATTTTCACATGTATGACTCTGAAGACATTATTTTATGTCTGATCCTGATTTCCACTCCTGTGCAGATTTTAAGTTCAATGATATTTTGAATACTTGCTTTTGTCATTAAAACCTAAGCTTTTTGCATTTGACAGCTTTTGTTATTTTTACAAGTGCATTAAAGCTGATACATATATATAATTTGAAAAATATTCTTTTTTTTTGTGAAAAAAAATGGAAATGATGGAAAGATTTGATTGAACTCAGCACCATCAATTAAATGATATTAGGTCTTTTTTGCAAATTCGCATTTTTTGTTTTTCAAGATGTGGGGCTGTGTTATAGACCTTTTATGGTTTCCATATATTAAAAAGTGACAAAAAGCCACGTTTGCCTACCTGGTCCCAGTCTATGCTTCTGAAGAACGTATGAGACTTGATGTCTGTGAATCCGGTCTGAACTTGGCATCCCAGCCTCTCTTTTGGGTCCTAAACGGAACACACACTCTATTAATAACACACCTAACAAAAGCCAGATCTGGTGTAGAGAACTTCAAAAACATGGAACCTATTCAATTCATGTACTCTTTATTTCAGGAGAATGGAGTTTAACACATTCACTCTAGCATATGTTGCTGACATTATCTTGTGCCCTGAAACGTTAGATGAGGATTCAGGGGTCTGGAAGTTACTCGCTGAGCTGATCTACGCTCTTTTAATCCCAATGAATCAGGCAGTGGCTAAGAGGGCTGATAACACTGATTAAAGGCTGCTGTTGAGTTCGAGGAACCCCAGAGCTTCAATAAATGCAATTTGTCTCGACGATTAAAGGAAAACGCTTCATTATTCACAGATTTAATCAAGCCGGCACGCACATGGGCACACGAAAAGAAGCGTGCACAGACTCAAGAGATCGGTTTCATCTGGAGGATGATGACCCTCCTTATTATAGCACATATATTTGTTCAATCAGAGGCAAACTGTGTGCACATTTATGGAGAGTTAAGACCCTCATTTATAAACCTTAGTGTGCAATGTTCATAAAATATGACGTTTTTTCCTCCCTCAGAGCATATTTGTTTCTCATCCATCTTGTTTGTGTAATGGAGCGCAACGGTGATCAAGGTTTCAGAGGACAAAGAATAAACTACGCATTACGTAAAAAATTATGTATGATGTTATTGAAACAGTCTGGGTTTGCTTATCACAAAATACAACTACTGTTATAAAACAAAATACAACTCTTTTACAGTTGTTATTATAAAGGACTGTTATTGTATAATAATATATTTTAATATATTTTAATGTATATTTTAATATATTATTTTCCAATAACAATAATATAAATATTAATTTTTAAATATAATATATAAGGGGTGTAACGGTACGGTTCAGTGCGCATGTGTACCGAACAAATACAGCATTGTTTTAACCAACGCACGAGTGGAACTTCATTGAAAACTTCCAGTTTTATGTTACTTTTGATAAGAAACAAAGTATCGTCTTACAAATTATGTACATTTTTTCCAGGAAATTCAAACAATAAATGCTGTTTTGGCGCTCTTTGATAGCGTGACAGAACGTTGTATAAACGCCTCAGTTCAAACTGTAGCACGGAGCGCAAGCGCGACCTCTTTACTACTAGTATTAACGCAAAATAAACATGAATGAACATCTCATGCCTCAATCGCTCAATCAGTGTTTCAACCATGGAAAGACGTCAAAACAAAATGTCACATAGCATTTCATTTACCTCAGGCAAGTCATCAGTGTCTGCAGCTAGTTAGTTCGCTAGAGAAATTAAGTCTAGAGAAGATAATTTTGTGAAATATTAGACTATATACTTATTATATTTTACTTTACCTGTTAGTGATGTCTTAATTAATGTATGCTCAAATAAATCTGTTAAGAAACAAGTTACGACAGCCACTGTGCAACTGAATATATTTCAACAACAAATAGAAATTGTATAATTTAGAAGTTTAAAAACTGCATTATGTGCAACTTACATGTTTGCATACTTTTTTTAAGTTGAGGGATGATTATTATATTTAAAAAATAAATAGTAATTGAATTTAAGTTTGGGCTCTGTTGTTAATTGTAAGCTTATAGAAATGTAAAAGGGTCCCCCAATAGTTTAGAGCAGGATTCCTCAATAGGCGGCCCGTGAGAGAAAAACATTTGGCCCGCGCTAATTTCAAATAATGTGGCATGAAAATTCAAACGCAGCATCAGAAAGCAACATTAACTTACATCGTGTCTACACCGGATGCGAGTGGCGCGGCGCGACGCAACAAAATACAATAAAACCCACTATAATCAGTGATGCTGTCTACACTGGATGTGGTGCGGCGCAGCGCAACACGACAAATCCCCGACAGTAAACTGCTGACTCGTTCTATTTATAATGTACTGACACAAAGTTCAAATGATTTGCAATGCTTTGTCGCGTCCAGTGTAGATATGATGTGACAGCAACATGGCGAGCGTGAAGAAAAGAAAAATGGACATGGAAAATAGATGATTCAAATGTGAATGGACTGAACAGTTGTGAGCGAGCGAGCGAGCGAGCGAGCGAGTGACTGATATCTTTGTTATGGAATACACGTGTTGGTTCGCAGTGAGTTCACAGTTTTAACGTACAAGTTTGCTTTAATTTATTTTCAAGATCTGAGGTAAAATATCTATTGTTGCTTTCACTATGGCTATAAAGATAATACAAAATAATATTCAAACTCACATTAGACACATTTAGCATTGAATAAAGCACATAGCCTAATCATTACCTGAGATTATCACTGTCATATTTTGTATGTTGTTCCTGCCGCAACGTCGCAGAAAATAAAAACCATTTCTAAAATAGAATCCTGTGTCGCTTATTGTCACGTGTCGCGGGTGGTTAGGACAAAAACTACATTGTTCATTTGTTTTTAATATTCAACAGGCAATGTTCTTCTGTATCTAAATGCAAAAATGTTCATAACTGTTTGAATAAAACAGACTACTGGGGAAAAAAATCTGAATATTCATCTTGTGACCATCTTGTGATTATTTTAACAAAAGCAACAATAATATAATAATTGTAATAAATCATATTTAAGCACAAAATTCGAATTTAGTTTTTCAGCCATTTTGACAGCCCTAATATATATATATATATATATATATAGGTCAGTGGCCCTTGGTTTGGTATTGTTGGCAAAATTCGGCCCTCGGCGAAAACTAATTGAGAAACCCTAGTTTAGAGCATAAGCTGAGGTAGATTTTTATTGAAAATTTTTATTATAAATGAATTGAATTTATTTAAAGAAAGAGGAATTTGTTCAGTAAACCACTGTTTAATAAAAAAAGCAATTTTATATTTAGTTTTTCCCCTGCTGTACCAAAACCATACCGAACAGTGACATCAAAACTGAGGTACATACCGAACCGTTATCTTTGTGTACTGTTACACCCCTAGCATATCCTGTAAATATTTAGCTAAAAATATAAATCAGAATAGGTTAAATAAAGCAACACTGAAACAACAAATGACTAGTCCTATCGCTATAGCTGACATTAGCTAATTTTACCTGCCTCTAGCCTGCAAAAATTAACTGCTGTGTAGATTACCGTGAATCATGTTTCTATGGTAACGGCGACTTCTTTGATTGGTGCATTTCATTTCAGGGTTGTGGGTAGTAGAAATTCATTGAATTCAGCACGTAACCTTTTTTTTTTTTTTTTTTTCCAAACAAAGTTGAAATTCCCAATCTTACAGTATGGTTTTAATAGAAGTCTGACCTTGAAGAGGGTAGGACTGTTTTGAAATGTTTTTCCAGAACCCTTTTATTAAAGCACCTTACAGTACATTCAACCTATTGGGAAACCCTTAACCTTGGTGTGCTACATGAACTACTACTTGATATACAGCAACACTAGTCTATACAACAGCTTTTTACTTCTTAACTCTTTATAGTCTCGTTTTTGTCCACTTTTTCTTGTCAGTTGTAACGCACTGCAGCATTCATTCACGTACCAAGTACACCTGTTCTCACCTTGTTCAGAAAGCCTTTCAGCACACTCGCAGCCTTAACAGACAATGACCTGGGAATCCGTATCGGCTTCTCCAAAATGACTGAAAGAGAAAGGGGAAAAAAGGAAGACAGAAGATTAAAGCGTATGAGTCATTCTTGCAGAGTATGGCCGTCGTGTTGTGCGGCGGTGTTAGAGAGAGACAGGCTTTAACCCACACGCACAAAATCTCTCGTTCGTACGCCCACGCACTACAGACGCCTGAATAAACCCTTCAATATTCAATCAAAGACTCAAAAGATTCCTCCCCGCTCCGTGTTTATTTCTGTAAATTCAAAAAATTCTGTCGCGGTGTTAAGTGGATTTAAAACACACCACAAAAAGTAAAAAAACGTGTCTTTTTAATGCGTCTCATCCCTGCATTTTCGGATTTCTTTTACAGTTGCGCATCTCAGGCAACCGTCCAGAAGCAAAGCCTGTTAAATTTCATCTCTCTCAAAGACGGAGTGCAGACGAGCGTTTATCTTTCCCCTCTCCGAATGCCACATCCCCTGTTTGTTTTCTTTTCCAAATGAAAAGCTAAAGGGATTTAGGTCTTGCTGGGGCTCTGCCCTGCTGCTGTGACGCGGTTTGGACGGCGGCCCGAAAGCGGCTAAAGTGTTGGCTCGGAGGTGGCAGCATCTGCCCTGCTCCTGGGTGGGCGGCGGAGCGCCGGCAGGGGGAGGCCGTGTAGGGCCGGGGGGAGGTTGGACTGGGACGGCGCTGCAGCATATGGACGAACTGAGGTTTGGATGGGGGGAACAGAGTTCCGGTTGTGGAGAGAGATCCAGGTTCATGTCATGTGTGTCTGTATGGATGAGAGTGATCCAGGAGCATGCTGCCCTCTCGGCTGGAGCACCAGAGAACAGACAGGGAAGCAGATGACCACACAGTCTCTGCTCTGGAGATGGACTGGAGGCGAGGAAAGGGGGGATGAAAGAATGTCTCATAAAGGAATGACAAAAAAAATGCCAGGAAGGGAAATCATATATATATATATATATATATATATATATATGCTACAGAACACTACACTTTCTAATGTTTGATTAACATTATTGACATACATTTTTAACAGCAGCTGAATCAGGCTGCTTTAGAGGAATAGCTCACCCAAAAATTAAAGGTCTGATGTTGTTCTAAACCTGTATGAGGTATGTAAACCTGTTGAATGTAAAAGTATATATTTGGAACAATACTGGTAACCCAACAGTTGCTGGGCCATCATGACTTCCATAGTATGAAAAACAAAATACACTACTGGAGTCAACAAGACAATTTATTATGTTACAAAAAATTTGTAACAACTACAATTACTTTCTTCTTTTTGTTTTAGCAAGCGATCCTTAAAAAATATCATTATTTTCACAAAAATATTAAGCGGCACAATTGTTTTTAACATGAATTACAAGAAGAAATGATACTTGAGCATCAAATCAGCATATTAGAATGATTTCTGAAGGATAGGATCATGTGACACAGGATGTACGAGCAGGTGCGAGCCGCGCGAATCAGGCCGTAACCGTCTTAATCCAAGTAGGTATAACTGCAGACCAGAGATCTCCAAAATGGGGTGTGAACTCCAAAAGTGGGCAGAACCTCCAAAATGGGGCGGGGTCTCCTCACGCAAAGACTTTCACCATTGGCTCTGGCTCCAGCCAATTGTTATTGACTTACATTTCAAAATAAAACTTTATAAAT